CATCTGCATGAAACAAGACTGAATAATTCATTTGTATTAACTGAAGTAGACTATCAGGATGTTTTCAATGCCATTATGACTCTAAAAAATAAAAAAAGCCCTGGAGTTGACGAAATTAGAGCTGAACATCTAAAGATACTGGCCAAACAAATAACAGAACCACTTGCTTATATCATTAACAAATCCTTCCAATCTGGAGTATTTCCATCAGCTTTCAAGACAGCAATCATCATACCTATCTATAAATCTAATGATAATACGGACGTCACTAACTATCGACCTATTTCACTTATATCAAGTTTAGCTAAAGTTTTTGAGAAATTACTCCTTAATAAAATGATTAATTTTCTTAATAAATTCAAAATTCTAAATTCAAATCAATATGGTTTTATAGCGGGCAAATCTACAACAGATGGGGTATTAAGTATAGTAGATGAAATAACCCAAAATATAGATGGAAAAGTACCATCGATATGCGTATTTGTGGACTTACAAAAAGCGTTTGACACAGTTAACCACAACATACTTTTGAAAATCTTAGAAAGAATAGGTTTTCGTGGAAAGATGTATACTTTAATGGAAAATTATTTATCAAATAGACCGCAATCAGTAAAATTATTAAGCTCGTATAGTAAAGAAATGTTTGTTAAATGTGGTGTTCCACAAGGTACAATTTTGGGTCCTCTGTTATTCAATATTTATTTAAACGATATATTCAAAATTAACAGTACTGGTAAAATAGTCAGTTTTGCAGACGATACTGCTATACTCTATAAAGGTAAGGATTGGAACGACTTAAAAGATATTATCCAAAATGACTTTTGCAAAATTATTCAGTGGTTTAATAACCGGAAATTAACAATTAACTTTACTAAAACTCATTTTTTACCATTTTCATCACTATCTAATCATCTACCAAAATATAACCACCTTCGGTTTAAGGTAAATGATAAAAATATAAAAATCAATAGAGTTAATGATACAAAATATTTAGGAATTTATCTAGATCCCCACTTGAGATGGGATGTACATATTTCTCACATACTAAAGAAAATTAGATTCATAGCATATAAAATAAAATTTCTAACCGGTATATTAACTGAATATTATCTACGAATAATATATCAAGCTTTAATCGAGCCACACATAAAATATGGTATAGTAGTGTGGGGTGCTGCATGCACGACATACTTTAACGATTTAGATGTACTTCAAAGAAGAATTTTAAAATCAATGTTAGGCAAATCAAAATTATACCCAACTAATGACTTATATAATGATGCACAAGTATATGATACTAAACAACTTTACTTCTTACATACCATCACTCATTATCACAAAACTATTAGTGAACACGACATAATTAAACATAATCATAAAACCAGATATAAATTACGCGCAAAAAATGTTCCTAAACCAAACAAATCCCTAATGAAACGATGTCACCTGTATATAGCTCCAAAATTGTACGAACATTTACCAAATAATTTAAAACAATTACGCAATACATTAGGCTTCAAAAAAAAATTAAAAAAATTTATTAACACGATTGGGAGAAATCAAATTAATAAAATAATCTCAAGTATTACACAATAAATGCTCTAACATTCTTACCAATAATTTCTTTGTTCTCTCTATTTTATTATATTTTGCAATTCAACATACATATGATCCATGCACAGGCATTGTCCTCCTATGGATATATTATATTTATTTACTCGTTTCATGTTCCCTGTATTTTAGAGTAAATAAATATTATTATTATTATTATTATTATTATAACTGTAGGCGTAACTTCCGATCTATATAGCGGGATTTTTGCTGCTTTTGCCACATTTTTTCCTTTGAATATTTTATTTAGAGCTCCCACCGATTTGCTTCCTTCCATAAGTCTCCTTTCTATTTCTGCAAATTCATCACACTTGTAACTAGCACACCCAGGTAATCAAATTCACTGACGTTTTCAAAACGAACTTCTCCCTCTTCTGTATCCAGCTTAATATAATGTTTTTTTAGCACCTACACTTCTTGGTTCTAAATATATTTTGCTTTATTCTCATTTATCAGTAGTCCGTATAGCCATGCAGGTTCCTGTAACTTAAAGTATACCGCTTGTAGTTCAACCCTGGATCTAGTTAACATAACTACGAGCCCCTTCCCACTTCAGTTGGCCCAACTATTGAAATCTTAGTTTTTTTTATCAAACACAAATAATAAAAATGTAGCAGGGTGTTATAGGTTTAAAATATTAACATTAATATTAACGTTTTTATTAATCACGGCTGTCAGAATACGTTTAAAATAGTTTTGGGTAGTTAAGGTTTCCAAAATGGGTAGAGGGAAGGCTATTACTGAGAAAATTCGGTTACTGATAATTACATTTTTTAATACTGGGAAATCAACCTCAGAAATTGTAAATTTGTTAGACATATCGCGGTACAGTGTGAGAAATATTCTTAGAAGATATAACGTAACTGGTTCAGCTAATATTAAGCCACGATATGTAAAAAAAAGTAATATCACAAATGCCGACCGAAGAGCACCAAGAAGAATAATCGTGAAAAACAGGCGTGCCAATTATTTACAGTTAAGTGACGCTGTTTGAAGGAGAATTTCGAGGTCCACAACTCATAGAGAGGCCCATAAACTGGGATTTAGCACTTGCAAGGCAAGTTTTCTTATAAAAAAAAGTGATGTAAAAACCCTAAAACTGCACAACTTGTTTATAGGCCAAAGAAAAGCCACTATTAGCTCCACTGCAAAAGAAAAATCGGCTTAGATGGGCTGAAGAACATAGACAATAGACCCCTGAACAATGGTGTGCAATACAATGAAGTGATGAGGCTCGATTCGAAGTTTGTGTTGGTGACAGTCGCAGTAGAGTTATTCGCAAAAAAAATGAAGCATTCCATGTTGACTGTCTAAAGAGAAAAGTGAAATTTTCAGCATCCATTATGGTCTGGGGAAGTATGTCATCAAAAGGAGTAGGAAAACTTCATTTTATTGATGGAAATGTGCATACAAACAAATATTAGGTAATTTTAGAAGAATCGCTTTTACCAGTGATGGAAGAATGTTTGACATCCGGCCAAGGTTTCGTGTTTCAGCAAGATGGTGCAGCGTGCCGTATCTCAAAAAAGGTTATAGAATGGATGGAAGAAAATAATGTACCACTAGCAGTTTCTAGCAGTCCAGATCTGTCACCTATTGAAACTTTGTGGCACGAGATGAAAAAGGTTCTACGTCAACATCCTGCTCGTACAATTACCGAACTGAGACAGTAGCTTCAAGAAATATGGGATTGCTTTACACCTAATTTTTGCCAAAACTTGGTCAACACTAGGCCCCAAAGAATTTTAGCCGTAATAAAAAATAAAGGTGATGTTACCCAATGGTAATCTTTCAATTGTTGCTTTGTTAACTTTTATTAGCACATTGTTTATTTGTTCAGATGTTCAATTAGTTATAGGTCTAAGTGATTTCAAATATGTATTTTTTACGACTAGAGTGCATCTGAAATCTTTTTGAGAAAATAGATTGTTTTAGAAGTAAGTAGTTTCGTGATATTTAGTTTATAAAGGCATATTTTGGTACAATTCTTGAAGTGGGCCAACCGAAGTGGGAAGGGGCTCGTATATCATTGGCATATGCAATTACCTAATGTCTCCAGTGATAGATCATTCTTTTTATTTGGATGTTTGCTTCTCTCAAGAGAGTTCCTAAAATCAAGCTGAATTTCTCAGGTTAAAGCTTCTTGAGACTCTACGCATATGTTGCTCGATGTTTTCTCCGACGTGAGTTTTACCAGTCTAATACTCTTTCTCGGTTTGTTAAGATTGGTCATAGTCTCCTAAAGTTTGTTCCTTAAAATAGTGTCATATACTTATTTGAAATCGATGCATGCATAGCTTTAATTTTTGTTTTTGAGTTTTATTCTGAATCATCTTGGAAGTTAATATTTGATCTAAACCGTTATCAGAGTAACATAGTTCGATACGGCTGTTCGATTGCCCTTTAAAATCTTATGCTGTTTCAAGTTCTGGAAGGTAGAGATGACTAACAAAGTGAAAAATTACTTCAGTAATATCCAGACCTAATTCAGGCAATCAAACTCTATCAATTCGATCATTGCCGTTAAAAACAATATCGTAAATTGCGCATTACCTATACTAGTTAAAACAGGCAAGAGTGCACTATTTGAAAGAGCAGTCCTTTGTTAGTAAGTCGCCGCATTCAGTTCATTTACAAGCGTCTTACAGTGCACGTGATGTAAACAAATTTAAGACGAAACATTGATTTGAATTTACCTTGACCTTAACATCGGTTTAACTGAACATTAATGAATCGAACGGTTACAACAGGCATTTGGGAATGAAGCTCCCTTCCGGGCAAGTGTGTTTAGCTGGTATACCGAGTTTCATTGGCTGATGAAGAAAGTAGTGGTAGGCAATGTTTAGTGTCACTCGAGAAAACATTGCTAAAGTTCAGCGGTTTATTGAAGAAGATTCTCGCTGCACATATGCGACTACAGAGGCAGAGGTACAATCATGCATCACGACAATGCCTCTAGCCACACTGCCCAACTAACTGCAGTGAAACATCAAAATGCTAGAAGATCCGCCTTTTTCGCCAGATTGGGCAATGTATGACTTCTGGCTCTTCAAGAATTTGAAAAAAAAATTGCCTGGTCGAAAATTTTCGTCCGCAGAGCAAATCGATCAAGCAATTAATGTTTGTTGAAGGCATTCCGAAAATTGACTGGTTAGAAGCATTTCATTTGTGGAAGGTCAGGTTACAGAAGTGCATTGATGCTGGAGGAGAATACTTTAAACACGACTAAACTAGTTTTCGAAAAATAGTTTTTAGTTTTCCTGTATGTTAAAATATATAGCGTGACCCTCGTATGTTATTTCATCGTAATGTATACTCATGAAAAAGACAATATTCTGCTTTTGAACTTTCCACTGGAACGTTATAAGTTATAATATCACCTGTTTCAGTTATACTATGGAAGCAATATGTCTGTAATATGCAACTTTACAGTGATCCTTCTCCATTATTTCCACAGTACAACGTTTTTTTGGATGTTTGTAGAAGGTAGGTGCGATTGCTTTCCTTAACCAACCTTTTTCATCTGTCGATATTAATCTAGTTTTTTGTGTGGGCTAACACATGTTCAACGTATATCAATCAAATTCATAGTACTTGAAATCATTGATGGAAAAGCAATTGAGAGCAGTTGAAGATTCAGCAGTATACCATATCAGTCAGTACTTTCACAGACTGGAACAGGGCATATCAAGGGTTTCCGGCTCTAAGGAATTTAGTGTTCTTACTTTATCATATGCAATGTAAAGTCATTAGAAACGTAATAACATCAGCTACGCAATAATGCTGTATTAATGTATAGACGATAAAAAATGAGATTAACTTTAATTAGCTGATTCATTTTTCATCCGTTTCATCGCTTTCGGACCAATGAGAAGCAGCAGAATCGCCAATATAATAGTAATAATAATAAAATATCTTTATTATCTACAATATAATATGATCTCTACGTAGGCGAAGTCTAGCTCTTGGCTACTTTACTGAAACTACCCAAATAATAAATTGAAATATCACATTCATCAAAAGAAAATTTGACAAGCAGCTAAAGACGCTTCAAAACAAATGAACTTGATAGCTGCCTGACAAACATACACATATCTATATATATATATATATATATAGGTGAAAAATTAAAGCTTCCGCTTTTTGTTGGGTACTTCGACAAGATTTAAGCAAAGAGGACTCTTTATACTTTTTTAATTCTCTCTAGCTTTCAATGGACTTTGCCATCATCATCAGGAGCTGCAATTACAATGATAACAGTAGCAACAAAGGTGTAAAATGAATTTAAATTGACTCAACTTACAGTAGTATGTGAGAATGTTGCTAATTGTTGTTTACGTATATATATATATATATATATATATATATATAATTAGCAACATTCTCACATACTACTGTAAGTTGAGTCAATTTAAATTCATTTTACACCTTTGTTGCTACTGTTATCATTGTAATTGCAGCTCCTGATGATGATGGCAAAGTCCATTGAAAGCTAGAGAGAATTAAAAAAGTATAAAGAGTCCTCTTTGCTTAAATCTTGTCGAAGTACCCAACAAAAAGCGGAAGCTTTAATTTTTCACCTAACTGGTCTAGACGACAATGACCACGTCTCAAAAAAAAATATATATATATATATATATATAACAAAAATAAGAAAAATAATGGGCAAAATTCGCAAAAAGTGGATTCGAGCAGAAAATAGGATAGGAAACCCGAGCGATACTTATTTCCTCTGGTTGGCTTCATCAGGCCCGAAATGAATGCACATATGCAACCAAAAAAGTAGATACACATGCCCACACATCCGGATACGGGTGTAACCTGAGGAAACGAAGATGGAGAGGAAAAAAAAACACGAAGTCCACAACAAGAGCCAACCTACACATTATGATATAAAATGGCTAGAAGACCTCGAATTTTCAAGGCGACAAATAACCACAACCACGCGGCCAGTTATAGCCACTTGCTGCGGTACTTCAAGCCCAAAGGATCTACAAAGAGAAAATTATCATGCGGAGAAAGGTATATAACAAAAATAGGAAAATAATGGGCAAAATCCGAAAAAAGAAGATTCGAGCAGAAAATAGGATAGGTAACCCGAGCGATACGTATTTCTGCTGGTTGGATTCATCATCCTATTTTTGTTATATACCTTTCTCCGCATGCTAATTTTCTCTTTGTAGATCCTTTGGGCTTGAAGTGGCTATAACCGGCCGCGTGGTTGTGGTTATTTGTCGCCTTGAAAATTCGAGGTCTTCTAGCCATTTTATACTACAACTTGTAGGTTGGCCCTTGTTGTGGACTTCGTGTGTCTTTTTTCCTCTCCATCTTCGTTTCCTCAGGTTACACCCGTATGCGGATATGTGGGCATGTGTATCTACTTTTGTAGTTGCATATGTGCATTCATTTCGGGCCTGATGAAGCCAACCAGCAGAAATACGTATCGCTCGGGTTTTCTATCCTATTTTCTGCTCGAATCCACTTTTTGCGGATTTTGCCCACTATTTTCCTATTTTTGTTATATACCTTTCTCCGCATGATTATTTTCTCTTTATATATATATATATATATATATATATATATATATATATATTGAGACGTGGTCATTGTCGTTAGGTGAAAAATTAAAGCTTCCGCCTTTGTTGGCTACGTCGACAAAATTTAAGCAAAGAGGACTCTTTATACTTTTTTAATTCTCTCTAGCTTTCAATGGCTTCCATGACCACCATTTTGTGCAATCATCAAGTGGCTTTACGATGTAATGCTTTAATGTTTTTAAATAATTTTTAATCTGTTTTTAACTTGTTCTTGTCATATTTTATATAATTTTGACCATTGTACCATCTATCCAGCTCTCACCATGTTACTGGACGTTTCCCTCATCCTATACGTAAACAACAATTAGCAACATCCTCACATACTACTCTCCTGATGATGATGGCAAAGTCCATTGAAAGCTAGAGAGAATTAAAAAAGTATAAAGAGTCCTCTTTGCTTAAATTTTGTCGAAGTACCCAACAAAAGGCGGAAGCTTTAATTTTTTACCTATATATATATATATATATATATAATACGTTATATATATATATATATATATATATATATTACGTATTTGAAAAATAAAATAAAATATAAGATTTGATGGTAATTACTTAATAATACTTAATAATAAACTTTTCCTCAATTACTACAACGACAAATAAAACTGTTTCACATGCTTACGAAATCTGCTTACTTGCCAATCCTTTATATTGTCATCTAAATCGTTATAAATGATGATAGCAAAGTAAGTGTATCAACTACGAAATAAAGTTGTTTTAAACATAGGGATCTCTAGTCCTTTTTGTGTCTGAAATCAATGTCTGAATTACTTCACCTGAAAACAAATTTCTCATAAAGTTACAAGGGGGAGCAAGAACATATGATCTTATGTGTAAACACTGCCATATGGTACTAACATGCATTTTACACATCTAACCAAGCTGAAATCTCTTTAAGGAAACATGATCATACTTTTTGAGATTAAATACAAATCGACAAGTATTTTGGAGTTTTTGGAGTCTTGTTTTTGTGATAGAATCAAGACAATGATAGAACACAGTGCTACAGTAAAATAAGCTAGGAAATATAATAGCCTCACATAACTTTTTTCTAACTTTAAGATTCAACATAGAGCAATTGACATAAGAACACTTCAAAGTTGCATAACATTTTTTTAAGGTAGACCAAACATGCTCCTTAAACCGTAAAGTATAATCAATAATCAACCCTATATTTTTGGTAGTATTTACGTCAGTTAGACGCTCCTCATCGATTTTTATATCAAGAGAATTCAATAAACTGTTAAGTTTGACAGCAGGACAAAAAATCATCACTGAGCACTTACCCCTATTGAGCTTAAGATTGTTATCATTTGAGTATCCTACTATTGCCTCCAAATCATCATTAAGCTCATTGATTGAAGTATGTAATAAATTAAGTACAACAGAGGCCCCAAAACTGAACCCTGAGGTTTTATCAATCGGACATAGTATTGTCCATCTCTACTACTTGTTTACGATTTGAAAGATATGTTATAAAAACATTAGAGGTAAGAGTATGCCTGAAAAACCAAAAAACTTCAATTTAGCACATAAAAGCTCATGATCTATTTTATCGAACGCCTTAGAATAATCTAATGATACAAATTCCCTAGTCACTCTAGTTTCAACAGTCCTATTTTATCAATACTCTATTAAGCGCGAACAACTTAGCGTTTTTAATAATCGTTCCGTATGTATAGTAATGGCGGCTATGCTTGATTCACTACTCATACACATAATTGCTTCTGGATTTACGCATGTTACATTATCAGGCTCAAAGTGCAAGCTAACGTCCATACCTTTCGAAACAAAATTCATATCTTCCCTATTTCTCAGATTATCTGGAACTGCTCCGTTGTTTCTAAATGTCTTGGTCTTATTTTTAGTATAAGCTTCAATATACTAGCTAAGAAAAACGTTGGGAGTGTTTTAAAACGTCTATTGTTTACCCGTTCAGAACAAAATAGCGTCAGTATTGCGTCTTACAATTAACGTTACTATCCTTCTTGAGCAACCAACAGAGATATCATTTTTCATGTTCAAAAGATTATCTGTAGTAGCTTATGCCAAAAAGAAAAGATAACAAATGTTTTTGACACCGTTTCACTGAATCACATTGTATAAAGATACTGAGTTAAGTATCTAAAAATGGGCAAATTTTAAACAAAAATTCAGTAATTGTGAAATTTGGGCTTTTAAAATACAATCAAGCAATAAACTAGGAAGAAAAATGTCGATGAAAGTTTACATTACATTAAATGACATAGAAAATGCAACATCGAGTAGGAGTGTTGTAATTTTGAGCATACTTTACAGGTCAACTGCCTTGTTGTGGAAAATCGATCTCTAAATGCTAGTTGCCTCAAATAATGATCCTGTCGCTCTGTAATCTTTGACGTCTAGAACCTCTGAGTCGTCGATTTTGGCCTCCTTGGAACCTCTCAAACTCGGAAAGTTACGTGAAATTAGCGCGACTGCGAACTCTAAGCATGATAATGCAATGAAACAGCAATGAAACAAATGGAACCAACATAGAAAAATCAATGAATATTAAGTAAACATGTTCAGATTTTTCGGATCCTGATATGACAGAAAAAGCTTTCACAAAAACGTACGGCTCGGAATGCCTTCAAAATTTTATCAGCGTATACTTCCACGATAGCAAATACAGTGCGTCATCTATTACTTTTTTTTCTATTTGAAAAATCAACACGCTTTTTACGAGGTGAAATCGAGTTTTTTTATTGATAAATGAAGGTTGGTTTATGCCATTTATGTATGAAAAATAACATCAGTCATGTGACCACCGCGGCTTCGTTTACAGGCCAACATCCGAACATCCAAATTTTCAATGACTTTTTCCAGAATAATCGGTTCTATGGCCGCAATTTCAGTCCAAATACTGCGCTTTAGGTGTTGAATTGTCCGGGGACCATTCGCATACACTTTTCCTTTCAAAAATCCTTAAAGAAAGTCGTTAAGAGGTGTTAAATCACACGATCTCGGGGGCCAACTGACATCTGAATTTCGTGAAATTATGCGGTCTTGAAATTTCGTGTGCAATAAGGCGATTGTTTGGCGAGATGTGTGAGCTGTTGCATCGTCTTGATGAAACCAAAGATCGTCGGCAACAATACGATCCAATTGTGGCCACAAAAAGTCTGTTAACATGTCGCGATAACATTCCCCGTTCGGCATCTTCAAAGAAGAATGGTCCAACGATGCCACCAGCCCATAATCCGCACCAAACAGTCACCTTTTCAGGATAGAGAGGTTGTTCATGATATTGGTGTGGATTTTCAGCCCCCCAGAATCTGCAATTTTGCCTATTTACGTACCCATTGAGGTGAAAATGAGCCTCATCAGAAAAGAGCACTTTTGCCGAAAATCCGTCTTCTCTTTGCAGCATCCAATTAACAAAAACACGCCGCTGTTGATGGTCTGCCGGCTTCAATTCTTGTGTTAGTTGGATTTTGTATGGATGGAGGTGTAAATCAATGTGTAAAATCCGGCGTAAAGTGGTCTCACTAATTCCCAATTGTTGCGAACGGTGCCTAGTCGAGGTGGTTGGATCTTCTCGCACACTTTCACTCACTGCGGCTATGTTTTCACGAGTACGAGCTGGACGGTATGGTCTACGACCTTCAGCTGAACCACTTTACTCAAAACGATTGTCGGCCAAAACTAGTGCGAAGTTTGCGAAAAGTATTTTTTATATTTCGACCGTTTTCATAATAAGTATGGATAACCAAGATGCGTTGTTGTGTTGTAAACGAATCCATGACTATAAATGGCATACCTTTGACAGTTCATTTACGCATACCACATGACTTTCGACTCACATGGTAACACATAAACTTATAGGTAAAAAAGTAATAGATGGCGCACCCAGTACGTTTACAAGTTTTTATTAAAAATCAATAAATCATTTTCGATGTTGCATGTTATATGCCACGTAGTATACATATGTTCTAAAATATTTAATTGCAAAATGTTCATAGATGCCATCAACTTCAAATTTAAGTCATTTTTTATGGCCGAAAACCCCGCTTATTGGTCCTGATCCGAGTCATAGATGACAAACGTTGAAAGTATTCCAGAAACAGGCCAGCATGAAAGTTTAATAACGATTTAATAAAATGCAAATGGATGTCAATTTAAACTGCTCTCTCTTTAAGACATATTGAAAAAAGAAATACAACAAGATAATTCCAGTTTCTTTCATTCATCACTTCTTTTTAACAAACCCTTTTCTAATTGTCTAGTCCTCCGGTGATCAAACCATAAAATAAAGAAAAATGTCTTCGAAAATCCACTATCTGAGTAAATTATAATATCTCGCATTATTTATCTTGCAGGACTTTATCTGTACATACTTGTGGTGAGAACATTAACGAGAGAAAACTTCAAGCTCAGAGTATATATCTGCATTGGATGGGGTTAGTTGGTATTTCTGAACTTGTTTTAGTTTATTTAGTTATAATTTTAGTTGTTTTCAGGGCTACCTATGATTATCATGTTAGTTTGGTCCGTTGCTAAAGGACTACTGCCATTCGACGAAGTGTCTATAAGTCTGGTAAGTAGTAAATTGTAGGCGTGGATATACAGTGTGACCCAGATCCGCTCTTCTATACAGTGACCTCGGCTCCTATTATACCTACAGCAAAGGTTAAATGGGGAAAGTTTTAGAGGAAACTTAGTGCTTCAGATTTACGATCGGTCAATTGGTTTAAAAATATCAGCCTAAAAACAAAAATGACGGAATTTGTTTTTTGCCAGTAAATCCAAAACGGCTTATTTGACAGCTATCCAAATGTGACATTATTGAGATTTTTTTTTGAGTAAAATAAGATAGCAAATGTGACATGTCTCATATCAGTATCGACTTCTCAACAAGTCAAATGTGTTGGGACAATTGAACTATGAGTGTGTTGAAATAACAAGTCAGTAAAATCGTCGTAAATTTATTTTACACTGCATCAAACAAATATTTTACAAAATCGTAATGTAATGTATAATCCAATTATGTAAGTGAGTATTAATTTACAGATTTGCAAAATAACGTCCATTTGCATCCAGCTATTTTGCCAATTGGTGACTGTTTTTCGTACAACCTTAGCTAGTGTATTTCTGTTAATATTTCTAACCGTGCTCAAAACTATGTGTCTCAGGATCTATACAGGGTGTTCCTTAATGATATGCGAATATTTAGGAGTGTGAATCTCAATTAATGTTAGTTTGCTTTATAAACTATGGTAGAAAAATGTTTCCTTACGTGGTGTTGAAGTTTTAGAAAAAAAATGGAAATTAATTAATATTTTCAGAACGGCTCCAGATATTTCACTGATATTTAGTAAGTTAATAAAGTTGCATATTTTTCAATGCAAAACTAATTTTTCGCTTCGACAGAGGCGTGCGTACAGATGATGACTTCGATATTTTTTAAGGAAAAAATGGTACGCTAATGGTTGTTTGCCAAATAAAAATTATTCTTGAATTCCGCGTTGAATTTACAACAGATGACCATTTCTGAATTGTTTATTTTCGATGCGCCATTTTTGAGTAAAAAAATAAAAACCGTTGTATTGTCCGAGAAAATTAATGTACTAATTGAAGAATGCAATTGAGCAATAAATATCTAGATACTCTGGAATATGTCACAGGCATTTGACATATAACAGGTATCTGTTATTCAAATCTGTTCGCTGTGATATCTTTTTCATTATTTAGTTTTTACAATCTTGTTAATAATGGTGAATTATTCAAATGCAGAAATGGAAGAAATGCATTACGGCCTTGCCGACGGTAATGGTGAGCAAGCCAGATGCATTTATCACCAGAGATGTCCCGATCGTGCTTTGCCAGATAGTCTAATCTTTTCTAATATTCATCGTCGTCCTGTTGAAACTGGTTCTGTCCAAAAGGAACATCTAAAGATAGTACTCTAAGTGCGCGAACACCTAAAATTGGAGAATCAGTACTGCACGGAGTCGAAGAACATCCTGAAACGAGTACGCGGAAGCTTACTAGACAATTAAATATCTGCCATCAAATTGTTTGGAGAATTTTAATGGATTTTCTATAATTTTTGTCGAAATGCCATTCAGAATTTCCACAATAATCATTTGTGGGCAGAAGAAAATCCCTATGCCGTAACCGAAACCCATTTACAACACCAATTTTCGGTTAACGTATTTGCAGGAATTATTGGCAACAACTTTATTGGCCCATTCTTCTTGCCGGGACGACTTGATGGACAGACTTACCTCAATTTTCTTCAACAACAGTTGCCTTTGCTGCTTGATGATGTTCCGTTAGTAATAAGAAACAATATGTGGTACATTCATGATGGTGCTCCAGCGCATTTAAGTGTACCGGTTCGTAATCATTTACAAACTGTTTATCGAAATCGTTGGATTGGCCACCGTGGGCCCCAATAATGGCCACCAAGGTCTCAAGACCTCAACAGATTAGATTTCTTTTTGTGGGGCAATATTATGACACTAGTGTACACAAGCCCCATTAACACTGTGGAGGAATTAAGAGAAAGAATAGTTGCAGCTTATAATAGAATAAAAAACTTAAGGGATATTTCAACGAGTGCGCAATTCCATGAGAAGGAGGGCGGAAGCATGCATACTAAGTGGGCCATTTTCAACAATTTTTGTAATCATTTCGTTGGCTTTAATGTTATGTTTATGTTGTCAGTTGTTGTTGTTCATTACCCCTAATGTGTTTAATTATTCCAATTAAATTAAAAATAATTTTGCAAGTCAGACAATAGAACGGTTTATATTTTTTTACTCAAAAATGGCGCATCAAAGGAAAAAAATTTAGGAAAGATCATTTGTTTTAAATTGGGGGAATTCAAAAATAATTCTTATTTGGCAAAAAACCATTGGTGTACCATTTTTTTAAAAAGTGCCGAAGTCAATACCCGTACGCACGCCACTGTTAAAGCTAAAAGTTATTTTTGCATTGAAAAATATGCAGCTTTGTTAACTTTCACTACCTGCTAAATATCAGTGAAATATCTGAAGCGGTTCTGAAAATATTAATTAATTTCAATTTTTTTTTTAAAACTTCAACACCCCGAGTTTTTGTAAGGAAACATTGTTGGACCAGAGTTTATAAAACAAACTAACATTAATTTTTCATGTAGATTCACACCCTTGAATATTCGAGTATCATTAAGCAACACCCTGTATAGTCGCGGGAGGATCAAATCCATAGACCTCATTCTTTGTGCGACCCCAGAGGTAGAAATCCAAGAGTAAAAGGTCAGGGGATCTAGGAGGCGAATATATTGAACCATATGATGGAATTATTTTTTCATCGAACTGCTCCCTTAAGAAGTTCCTGACTTGAATGGTGTTGTGATCCGGGCATCTATCCTTTTGAAACCAGCTTCTTCCAAACTCATCTTCGGTTAGACTAGCTCGTAAAGCCGGCACAACCTGGTTTCGCAAAAGCTCTAGATACCTCTGTCCGCTTAGGTTGTAATCAAACAAAAATGTTCCTATAAGTCCATTTCCTGATATGATTAATACCTTATTTCAAATATGTGCCCAATTAAAAGAGGTAAGTTAGAATAAATTATTATCAATGACGCCATACCAAACATTATTTCCAAATTATTTCCAAATCTGATCTGTAGACGTCTCGCTGCCACTTGGTGAGGGTTTTCACAGCTCAATGATGAGTGTTGCGCTTATTAAAAACCTACTCCCATGTGACCACAAGACATGATTAACAAAATCGGGATTTTCGTTAGACTTCCTAGTATACCACTCACAGAAGTGCATTCGCCTTGGAAAATCAGTTTCCTTAAGTCCTTAAACTATTGCAGGTTTGTATGGTTGGCACTTATTCTTATTTAACATTCTCGGTACTGTTGATTTTGACAGACCAATCTCTCATTCTATAGTTCTTACTGATGCACTAGGGATTTCGTTGACAGCTTGTAAAATGTTTCTGTCGCGATTTTCGTTTTCAGTATTGTATCCGCTTCTAGGTCTTTCGAAGGTTCCATGGTTTATTAAATTAACTACTATTTTTCTAAATTGGGTTTTATGAGGGTGCCGTCGTTCGGGGTACATCTCCAAGCACCTTGCTGAGGTAATGTCGGCGTTTCTTTGTGACTGCAGGTGCAGCGCCGACATGTCAAACTTTTCTTCATTCGAGTTGGGAATACCGGCCATTTTCAACAGGTTTTGACAATTTTTGTTGTCAGGTTCATGATTTTATCAGAGAAAACGTACCTGCTACTCATTAAAACACAATTCTGATAGTTTGAACTATTTATCGTCAAAGTCAGAACCCCCTGAGATGAAAAAAGTGCGTTACTTATTAATTTTATTTTTTGACAAATAAATCATTGCCTCGTTTGAATCAGATTAATACATAACATTACGTAAGATGATATTTCGATGATATTTTAATCTTTTGTGCACTTGTAAGACATCACTAGGCTGAAATTTTACGCTCTTTTCAAAAATTGAAAAATCCAGTGTGGCGGAGATAAACAAAATGAAAGTTCAGGCAGGTTGCAGGAAAACAAAAGGCGATTGAGACATGTCATACACGATATCTTATTTGCTTAGAAAAATGTCTGAATAGTGTCACATTTTGACAGCTGTCAAATTACTTGTTGCGGATGATTTACTGGCAAAAGCAAAATTCGACATTTTCGGTTTTCCGCGGATATTTCCAAAACCAATGGACCGACGGTAAATTTAAAGCCGGCTATCGAATGCACCAAGTTTCCTCTAAAGCTTTCCCCACTTAATCTTTGCTGTGCTTATATCAGAAGCCGAGATCCGTGTATAGAGAAACTGATCTAAAACACATGCATGATTGCCGATTCAGGATTACAGATGAATTGCACCTAAGGTGTCGTATAACTTTTTTATGTGGTTTTAAATGTAGGAGAAGAAATATTTCTTGAATCAGCTCAGTAATGGGAGAGTAAGGAATCTCATATTCGAAAAACCAAAAGCGATGTTGAAAAATATTAAACCTGGGAAAATTGGAAATAAGAATGTAACAGGCGAAGAATAAATCTGAAAACAAACTTTTCGAAGAAGTAGGGTATCTTGTACCCACGAAACTGTTAGTAACAGAATAGTTGCTGTTTTCCCCAATCGAATTTTGCTACTAGGAAAATTCAAGACAGTCAGATTTGATTTGAAATGGCTTGGACTTGGACTGCTCATTTGTTGCTTGCGAAATGCACTATTTGCACACTAGCCTACTTAGTCAACAAGTTGCCAGTTTTATCGTAATTTTGACATTATACAGTGCTTTTCTTTAATGTTCCCCTCCCCTTTGATTTTTGAACGAAATTGATGCGTGGAGACCATATCTTAGAGCAAAATTGACAGATGAAAATGTCAAGATGGCCACTGATTGCCATCTTCAAACATAGTAACATCGATATTTCTACAAATATTTCATATTCTCAGCCGTATATCCAATAGTGAAGCAGGTTCAGTTTCGTACACCTTTTGCTTCAAATAGCCCCATAAAAAAAGTCTAAAGAAGTCAAATCTGGCGAGCGAGCTGGCTATTCCACAG